CTATTAACTTTTTTCTTTTCTTTTTTTTTTTTTTTTGTTTTGTCCACTTCGATGATCAAGATACCGGCGCACTTCAGATCCTCGCGATATCGATATCTCGAACGCGATCTCGACGCTTAAAGGGGGGATGGAGAAGGGGAGGAACCGTCTTCAAACTGTAGACTCGAGTAGGCGGCAGTGAGACGTCCGGTGATTTTTGACGGAGAAATAACAGGTTGTGACGCGAGTTGTTCTTGTACTTGTCGACATACAATTAATTCACATGCGTGCGTGTATGCGTGTATGCGCGTGACTGTAATTAGCGCGGAAACACGCAAAGTTCGCGCTTTCGTGTCACGAGCGAGTTCGATCGGACGATCGCGCGAGTTTGAAAATGGCGTCCTCGGCGGGAGCGGAAGGGAAACCTCGACCACGAAACTTTCGACGGAAACCGGACGGAGCTCGAGATGAGACAATGACATCAATCCCGGTGAGTGCAACCTTCCTTGTTATTGTTTATTGTTCTCCTCGCGATATATAACCGCGCGACGGATTCTGTTATTCGCGAATTGAAGTTCGTTGATTCGCATCCTTCCCAAATACGCTTAGCGAATTTAATGCCGTGCCCTTTTTCCATTTTCGAACGCGTAGGCGTTTTATACGCGTGCGCTTTTATTATCAGCACACCTAATCCATGTATATTCTGCGTTCGCAGCGTTCTCTCGTTCCTTTTTTCTTTCTTTTTTTTTTTTTTTTATCGTCAGAGTTTCGCGCGCCCATCTTCTTTATGATTCGCGTAATTTCTGATCGATTCGCTCGACTTGCCGCGTTTTTATGAGCTTTTCTTTTTTATCTCCTCCGAAACACATACAGCCTTTCCTCTCGGGAATGAGAGAATTTATTTTGAAACTAAAAGTTATATATGAAAAATGTAAAACCGACGCGCGACTTCTCGACGCGCTTCGCCGGAGAATTCTATCAATAATTTTACTGTCACTCGACGTAATTAACACTTTTAGGAATTTATTTGTAGAATCTGTATAAAATTAAAAAATGTTGTGTTCTAAATATATTTAAATTTCGTCCACACATATAACGCGTATTTCAAGCTACATTGACTCGTGAGCGTTCAGGATTTTTTTTTCGGGGAGGGGAAGGTTTTCTTAACACATAAACAGCAATTTTTTGCGTTATCTTTTTTTTTTTTTTTTTATATTTTTAGGACTTAGAATATCTCCTCATTTTGTCCTTTCCTAATTTTAAATGAGAAAAATACTAGATTTTATAAA